TGTATTTATCCTTCCCTTTACTTTTTATTTATTCATGCGTTTCTGTTCTGATTGGAATCACATTTCTTCTGCACCAAGAACTCCTTTTAGTAGTTCTTTGGTGCAGGTCTGCTGACATTAGTATGTTAATCCTAATTAAACTACAAACTTTATTTAGATTTGAGTTTTATATGCATTCTGGATACAAGTTTTTTGTCAGAAATGTGATTTGTAAATATTTTATCTATTTCTGTGGCTTGTGCAGTTTGGTTATCTTATCAGTGTCTTTTGAAGAGCAAAAGATTTAAATTTTGATGAATTTAATGAATTTTTTTGGATGGGTAGGGCTTTTGGTGTTATATCTAAGAATTCTGTCTAATTCAAGGTCACAAAGATTTTTATCTTGTATTTTTTTTGTAGTTCTACGTTTTACATTTAGGTATATGATTCATTTTGAGGTAAGATTCTATATAAGATGTGAAATACAAATCTTTTGCTATAGACATCCAATTATTACAGCATCATCTGTTGAAAAGACTACCTGTTCTTCAACGAATTGCCTGATAACTTTGACAAAAATCATTTGAGTACATTGCTGTGTTTCGTACCTTTGACCTATGTGTCTATCCCTTTGCTATTATTGTACAGTTTTGATTACTATACTTTTATATTAAGTGAGAAAATAAGGTAGTATGCGTTGTCTAATTTAAAAATTGTCTTGGTTCTTACTCCTCTGAAGTTTTCTTCAAATTTTAGAACCAATTCATCAATATCTATGAAAAGCTATGCTGGAATATTAATAACCACTGCATAGATCAATTTGGGGAAAACTGACATCTTCACAATATTGAGCCTTTCAATTGATTTTAATTTCCTTCCGTTATTTAGTTCTTCCTGATTTCTTTTTTTTCAAAGATTTTATTTTTTTCCTTTTTCTCCCCAAAGCCCCCCAGTACATAGTTGTATATTCTTTGTTGTGGGTCCTTCTAGTTGTGGCTTGTGGGATGCTGTCTCAGCGTGGTTTGATGAGCAGTGCCATGTCCGTGCCCAGGATTCGAACCAACGAAACACTGGGCTGCCTGCAGCGGAGCGCGCAAACTTAACCACTCGGCCACGGGGCCAGCCCCTTCCTTGATTTCTTGCATCAGCATTTTGTAATTTTCACCATGCAGATCATGCACATATTTTGTTGGATTTATGCCTGACTCAGAATATGGTCTGTCTTAGTGATTGTTCCATACATACGTGAAGACAATATGTATTTTTCTGCTGTTGAGTGGACTGTTCATAAGTGTCAATTAGGTAGAGTTGGTTCACAGTGTTGGTCGGCTTTTCGATTTCCTAACTTGCTGTCTGCTCGTTCTATGAATTGCTGACAAAGGGATGATGAAGTCTCAAACCATAATTGTGGTTTTGTTTATTTTACCATTCATTTCTATCAGATTTCCTTCACATATTTTAAAGTCTTTGGTTAGTTGTTAGGTGCACATACAGTAAGGATTTTTATGTCTTCTCGAATAATTGAGTTATTTATCACTATATAATGTTCTTCTTTAACCCCGGTAATATTTGTTCTAAATCTACTTAGTGTCATTGCTATAGCCACTTCAGCATTCTTTTGTGTAGTGTGTTGCATGGTAGCTCTTCCCTCATTCGTTTAGTTTTAACTCATGTGTATATCTATATTCTAGGCGGATGTCTTATAGACAACATATAGTTGGGTCTTGCTTTTTTACACAATTTGACAATCTTTGTCTTCTACTTGATGTGTTTACACTGTTGGAGTGATATTTGGTATGTTTGGATTAATATCTACCATCTTGTTAGAGCTTCCCATTTATCCCATCTATTCTTTGTTTCTTTTTTTTTTGCCTTCTTTGGGTTGATTGAACTTAGTTTGTGATTCTATTTTATCTCAACTTTTGACGTATATTCTGTAATGTCTTAAAAATTTTTTTATTGGATTCTATAGAATTTACAGTATACATAGTTAATCAGGGTCTATCTTCAAGTGATATTGTACTGCCTTATGTGTACCATAAGAACCATTCTACAGTGTTATTTCCAATTCTTTTTCCCTTTCCTTTGTGCTGGTGGTCTAGTGGTTAAGATTCAGCACTCTCTATCTTGGCCTGCATTTGTTTCCCATCAGGGAACAGCATCACCTGTCTGTCGATTGTCATACTGTGGCAGCTGCATGTGGCTCTAATGCTGAAAGCTCTGCCATCAGTGTTTCAAATACCAGCATGATCACCCCAGATTTCAGTGGGGCTTCCAGGCTAAAGCAGACTAGAAAGAAGGACCTAGTCACCCACTTCTGAAAAACCTGGCCATGGAAATGTTATGAATAGCAGCAGAGCATTGTCTGAGACGTGCAGGAAGGTGAGAGGATGACGCAAAAAGACTGGGCGTGGTTTCACTCTGCTGTCCACAGGATCACTAGAAGTTGGAGTGCACTTGATGGTGCTAACAAAATTCTTTGTACTATTGTTTTCATAACTGTTTTACTCAAGTTGTGAACACACGATGCATTGCAACTACTTTTGGTTTTGACACTCAATTATTTTGCTCTCCATTGCTTAAGAACTATTGAATTTCTCAAGAAGATGATCAGCTAAGACTATGAGGCTCAATTCTCTGCACTTTTTCTCTTGGTGGGATTTATGCCTTTAAATTTTGACTAAGTAGCCATGAAGGATAATTTTTGTCTCCCAAACATCTCAAGACTGCTGAAATATTAATATCTCTGCACCTTAGCAATCATTTTCTTCTTGGCTATTCAGTCTTTCCACCTATGCTGCTTATGAATTTAAGAATGGTTTCAATATGACTTTCAATTCTCTTAGGAATCTTGGGCCCTCAAGTCCTGGTTACTTCTGATGGCTCTCTGATTATTTCAAATAAACTTTTTAATTTTGTCATTTTCCTAGTTCTCAGTAGGAGATTTGGCCTATCTCAAGTTAGTTTGCCATACCAGAAAATGAATCTCTTGAAGAGTCATCTTTAGTCATTAGGATCTTTGAAGAGAGAAAAGCACTTAAGAAATAAGAACAAGATACTATAAAAAAGAAACAGGAAACCAACATAACTCTGGGAAATTAAAACCATGATAGCAGAAATGAAAAAGTCAAGAGAAAGTTTGGAATTTAAAGTTGAGGAAATAACCTAAAAAGTGGAACAGAAAGAAAAAGAGATGGAAAATAAGGCAGAAAAGATAAGTCAATTCGAGGACCAGGACAAGATGGTCATCATCTGAGTGGTAAGCATTTCATTAAGAGAGAACAAAGACCATAGAGGGGAGGAGCTCATCAATTAAATAAATCTAAAAATTTTCCAGAATCAAAGAATTTGAGTAGCTAAACTGGAAAGTCCCAGAAAGCCTCCAAAAAAACCAAAAAAATAAAAGAGAAAATGAAAATCATGCCCATTGTAGTCATATTTCAGAATACTGAGCCAAAGAGATTGTTACATTATCTTTCAGAGAGAAATAAGGCAATGATTAAACAATAGGGAACAATAATGTTTCACACTTCTAAATAATAATAGTAGAACTTTGAAAATAATGGAAGAACACCTTCAGTATTCTGAAGGAAAAGTAGTTTCAACCTGGAAATCAATACTTGGACAATCAAGTTTGAGAGTGGAATACAGTCAATGCTCATCATTTGTGGATTCCATATTTGCAAATTTGCCTACTCACTAAAATTTATTTGTGATCCCCAAATCAATGCTCACAGCACTCTCTCAGACATGTGCAGGGTGGTGAAAAATTTCAATTGCTTGATGACCACATTCCCAATTGAGGATGAACAAGGTGACACTGTTTTCTTGTTTTAGCTCTCATTCTGTAAACGTGTCCTTTTCTTGGTCTATTTAGTGCCATATTTTTCACATTTTTGTGCTTTTTGTTGGTGATTTCACTGTTTAAAATGGTCCCATGTGTAAAGCTGTCTAGTGTTCCTAAGGGCAAGAAGGCTGTGATGTGCCTAATAGAGAAAATACATGTGTTAGATAAGCTTTGCTCAAGCATGAATTATAGAGCTCTTGGCCATGAATACAGTGTCAATGAATTAACTGTATATTAAATAAGACGTCTTTAAACAGAAACACACAAAAAATACGGTAAGGTATTGATTGGTAGATGAACGCGCTATGAACAGAGCCTTGCAGGAATAGTACCCTCTATTTCCCCTGGGAGCAATGGTTCAGTATTTGATAATTCAGTGTTTGTGGTGACTTTATAGAACAGAGCTACTGTAAGTAAGAAGAATCGACTGTTTTCAGACATGTGTGCTCCCAGGCAACCTTTTCTCAGGAAGATGAGTTACACCAAAACCAGTGGAAAACACCAAATAAAAGGAAGAGATAGGAAATAGAAATGAGGAGCTGAAATCTCTTAGAGAAGCAGTGAGAATTCCAGGGTGATTTTTAGGATGATTTTGAATTCTAACCAGAGTTGAAAGCAAAGAAATCCAGATTGTTCCTGTTGTACCTTTCATGTCCGAATCAGCTGAGGTCACTCATGTCACCCCACAGAAGTGTTTTTCTCTGAACTACCCCTGAGAGCTGGTGATTAGTTATTGGATCTTAGGAGAAGAAAACATACCCTGCTCACCCTCCATCCTCAATCCACATTCCTATGGGACCACACTACAGTATTTCTAGAAGTTTCAGCTTTTTCACTGGCTTCGCTTCTGATCTTGACCACTGATTTTCCCAAAAGGGGTTTTGTAATGTCTCAGGTAAACTGAAGCCACACTATGATCCTGGGAGAGCTGCGGATCAGCCTATCTTATCCTTGTTTTATTGCTATTCTTCAAGCTACACATGGGCATATACACAAATACACAAGCAAACACTTTAAAAAATTAGTCTTTTTAAAATTCCCAAATAGAACATTTGAGAAGCTATAGTAGATGTCTCTAGACTCTCCCAAGGCTTGCTGTAGGTGGCATTTTTTGGCTCCACCAAAGAAAATTTTGTTCAATTGTTATTGTAGTACTTTCACTGAAATTGACCTCTTATTTTTAAACATAGAGCTTCTATATTCAAAAAGTATATATGTTAACATAAAGTACAAGAAAAATCAGGTTAGAATTTGAAAAGGGACATTTAGTTTCATAACAAATCAGGTCATTGGTCTCATACTAAGAACACATAAGAGTAGCTCTTTCCATCAGGGACCTAGTCCATATTTTCTTTCGTTTTCTTTGCTGGTTTTATGGCTGCTTGCTCACTGTAGTAGTTTCCTCCACATAAGGGTCTGCTTCAATTTGATCAAAATCCATTTTTTTCCTAGTGGATGGAAGCAAAGAGAAATTTCTTTCAAAGAAAAAAATAATACAGATGACAAAACCAATGCTAGTTATCTAATTACAGAGTATAGGAAACTTGACCTAATTAATGGACACGTCTATATGGAGAAACACACCAAAAGTAATGGAACACATTGAATTAATTATTTAGAAAGTTCCAATTTATACATGATAAGACAAAATGGCCATTAACCGAAGTTGTGAAATACTCTATGTGCTCATCATTCCATTCTCTGACAGTCTTTCCTGAACTCAATCCTCATGAGATAGCTTTGTGGGTGTTTTGCATGTGGAATTCATTTTAATTTTGTACAAATAGGAAGCCAAGACTGTGTCATGTAAATCTTTTATTTCCCAAGTTACTGCACATATGCAATTCCTGTTCTAGTGTCCTGTCCTATGTCATTGAGTAAGGAAACAATATTCCATTATTCAGAAATGAAACAGGTTCAGAAGTATCTCCCTAATACTGAAAATTGGTCTCTTGAGATCTAGGTCAATAGCATGTGTTTACTGACAAATCAGCTGAATTAAGTTTGGGAATGTCTCACTTGCTAAGGAGGTTGATGAGTGGTTTTGCCCTAGACTTCCCACAGCTTTTCTATCTTCCCAGGCATGAAGAGAACACTGTATCTAACATTTTCATTGTTGTGACATTTCTATATTAAGGAAGTATAGCTTAGCAGGGGGGCTAAGGGATCAGGAAATTGCAAAAGTTCCAAGAAAAAGATGACTATTTGAATGATATCTCTGAAAAGAGATTCATTTGAACCTTCCTCCGGCTTTTCTTGCGAAAGCCTCCATTTATCGTGAGTGAGAGGTGTTACTTGACTTGTGATGATTTAGAAGTAGTCTGAGGATACTCTTGCTGGATTCAAAAAATAAAAAAAGAAAATCTTCCAAATTCCACAAGCCAAATTGGTCTTTTTCCTTACTTCATTACCTTGGGACCTTAAGTAGAACAGTTTTAGAGAAATGGGGTGTTTGTATGGGCCCTGATACAAATACACAGATATTTTTTAAACTCTATAGAATGTATGTTATTTTCAGTAAATGATCTTGACAACTTTTTATTTATCTTAGCATCAGCACTTGCCTTCCATCCTTTGAACATCCTCTTGCAGGATGCTGTACATCTTCATTATAACGCATGGGTTTGTTGTTAACTCTCTGCTTAGTCTACAATTTCTGTGAGGTCAGGACCTGGCTCTCATATCCCCAGTTTCCAGCCATTAGTGAATGTCTCAAATATATCTACTACATATATGAATGATTATTGAATAAGACTTACTAAATTCATCATCATAATGTTACGTATGTTTTACATGTGAAAAAAATAAGAATTTTATCTTCCATCTAAGAGTAAGCTTGAATCATTGGAGTGTGGCATTTCTGAAAATAATTCTACAGAAAATTAGTTCTGTGAGATTTTAACAATTAGCAAAACAAAAAACTCCTCTTGTTTCATTATTAAAGCAATTTGGAGAATTGGAAGTTGCTGGATTAAGCAAAATTAAACAGATTACTTTAGTATGGGACATAAAAATAATAAAAGGAGATTTTCAATGTTAGCACAGTTAATGTGTGTGGTGGGACAAGAGTCTGATTCAGGTTCACCTGGTTCCAATGTCCAAATTTATTTTACTGATTTCATCAAGTTTAAAATTTGGACCTTTCCATGACATCTGTCCTCATGACTGTGATATACCTGCCATGGCACCAGCAGCGTCCCTGAAAGAGGTACCTGGAATGGCCCTGCCTCCACACCCCTTGTTAGAGACTTTCTTTTCTGCTCCTTAGAGTTTTCTTGTTTTCCTGTTTTCAGTTCCAGTTGTCTGTGAGACTGGCTATATTTTCTGCCCTTAAATTCTTTGAGATATCCCCACTTCTTTGTGATGACTCATCCTTAAACTTGCTCTTGTGGATTTCTCCTTTCTGAAATAGCATTACTTTTGTTTAAGACAAAGCTCAAAAGAAGGAGGAAACTTATTTTGAGCTCTTAGTGTATGCCAGGTATTGTGCTAGTAGATTTATTGTGTGTGCATGTGTGTGTGAGGGCGTGAGCCTCACAATCACCCTGTGAGATTACATAAAGGTCATGGCCAGCTAAATGACCCATTGTCTGGAAGAGATGGCCTTGGACATGAATGGAGGTTCCTCATCATATGGGTACATAATCACAAATCAGTCATCAATATTAGATGATTATGTAAGACAAGCCTGGCAGGCAAACAGAAATCAGAGCAGGAAATTATATAATGCTAAAGCTGGCACCAGGGTTTGAGGTTTCACCAAAGACTACTTCTGGTAGTTCCTTTTATATTCTTGCTACAGTTGTCTCTTCATGCCCTTCAGCAGCAACTGAATGAGAGTGTTTCTCCTTTTTTTTTTTTTTACTATTTATCAAAGTCTTTTAATATTAACCACTTGCATTTTATATGGATTGCATATGTTTCCCCTGTTTATTTCTCTTAATTTTGTGGATGGATTTTTATAATGTACATAAGATTTAGATTATATATAATGAACTTTATTTTATAATATAAAATTAAAGTTTATAATAAATTATAACATTATAAATTATAAAATTATAATAAATTAAAGTTTATAATAAACTTTACAGTTTCTTCTAGCATATTTATTCTTGTTTTTTCTTAGAAAATTTCAGTCTATTTAGACATTAGTTTATAGTTATACATTCCTCACTTATTTTCGAATGCATTTTATCATGTATGTGAAATGCTGCTTTAACTACGTTTGGGAACAAGTCTGAAAACCATGTATGTATAATTAAGTAAATGAATACAGAATCAAATAAAATCTAAAAAACAGAATAAATCAACAAACAAAACAAAACAGAAACAGCCTCATAGATACAGAGAACAAACTAGTGATTGCCAAAGAGGAGGGAATGGGGGCGGCCAAAACAGGTAAAGTGGATTAAGACGTACAAACTTCCAGTCAGGGGGGTGTATGTACAGCATAGGAAATATAGTCAATAATATTGTAATAACTTTGTGGGGTGATGGATGGTAACTAGACTTATTGTGGTGATAATTTAGTAATGTACATAAATATCCAATCACTATGATATATACCCGAAACTAACAGGATATTGTATGCCAATTATACTTCAAGAAAAAAAGAAAAAAAATAGTTGGTATCCCAGACGCCATATTTATTTTTACATTCTTGGGCTCTGATAGGAGAGCCAGGCATGTCTCTGAAGCTCAGTGGTTGAGCCAATGGCTGCCGATGAGTCATAATGAACTACAAGGTTTATAGAGGATCTCCTTTCTGTTCTTACAGCTTAGGGAAGAAACTTCTATTGAGTGGTACTCTACGCCAAGCAGGCAGTTAAAGTTATCTTCATTCTTCCCATCTAGCCAAAGAACACCCACTTTTCATATACAAAGGCAAGAGGCACCTTTTGTCCAGTATTGTTTGTGTGCAAGTGGCTGAATAGAATAAGATTTTGTGGGCTTTTCCTGGGAATTCTGTTCCTACCTAGAAGAGTCTTACAGAAATGAAGGTTTTAGTTCTTTTCATATATCTAAATGGTAAAGTTGCCATTTTTAGCAAATAAAAATATGAGATGCCCAGTTAAATTTGAAAAATAGCTCCAGTTGCCAAATTTTTGTAATTTATTGACAGAAGCTGAATGCAGGACATTTAGGGCATCCTGATTAAGTTAATACAGGATGCAAGAGAAATTTACAAACTTGCCATCCTCCTCCAGCCCTCCCCTACAGAAAAATGCCTCATGTACAGAATACCACCAGATGGTCCCTCACTGACTCTACTTCTACCAAGCACTGGGGCATGCCCTACTCATGCTTACCCTACATACTCAAAATGATTATTTCTGAAACATTAAATTAATTTATATTTATTGAAAGCTTACTATACGGGAAGTACCTGCTGAGCTCTGAGAGATAGGAAAATGATTGAGAAATAGTGTTGCTATGGACTAAATGTTTGTGTTGCCCCTCAAATTTGTATATTGAAGGGCTATCCTCTAATGTGCTGGTGTTTGGAGGTGGGGCCTCTGGGAGGTAATTAGGTTTAGACAGGTCATGATGGTGGGCCCCCATAATGGAGTTAGTGTCCTTATAGGAAGAGGAAGAGAGACCAGGGCTTTCTCTCTCCTGGTGCACACAAAGAACAGGTCATGTGAACGAAGAGAGATGATGGCCACCTGCAAGCCAAGAGAAGAGGCTTCAGAATGAAACCTACCTTGCCAGCACCTTGATTTTTGGGCTTCTAGCTTCCAGAACTGTGAGAAGTAAATTTCTGAAGAGAGATGATGGCCACCTGCAAGCCAAGAGAAGAGGCTTCAGAATGAAACCTACCTTGCCAGCACCTTGATTTTTGGGCTTCTAGCTTCCAGAACTGTGAGAAGTAAATTTCTGTTGTTTAAGCCAGCCAGTCCATGGTATTTTTTTGTGGCAGCCTGAGCAGACTAATACGGTATTATCCTCAGCAACTTTAAAAGGAGTCAAATGTGTAAATACCCTAAGGTATTGTAAAAAATGCCATATAAGAGATAAAATGTTGTATATAAGTGTATTTATCAATTTTCTGAATTTTCTCTCTGCCCACCTCTACATACTCACAAGAGTGTAAGCTCCATGGGGCAGTAACTTTTGTTTTGTTCATGGTTATATCCCCAGTACCCAGAATAGTATCTGGCATACAGAGGCAATTTCCAAATGTTTATCAAGTAGAAGAAAGGATTATGGAATGATAAAAACAATAACATAGAAGAATTCAAATAGAAAGGATTAGAGATAATTCCATAAATAAGGGTTATGACGTTCTGCATAGTGGAGATGGAAGCATGGTTGGTTCAGTCTCAGGAGAAGAGTATAAAACAAATAGAGAAGTCATGAATTCTATGGAAAGTCTGAAAATAGACTAAGGTGATAACTGGAGTATAGAGATTTAAAAGAAGTTTGGATTCGTATTGTAGAAAAACTTGAAGGTCATCATGAAGCATTTTGAACCTTATTCTGTAAGTTAACATTTCTTATGCTGTGCTCAATGGAAGTAAGATAATAGGTGTTCCATGAAAATGATGCTCTGTAGCATATAAACTTGGAATGAATTGTTTTTAATTCCCCTCTTAGAGATCAATGCAGATGTAAAGGTCCTAAGGACTGCTGCCATAAAACCAACTAATCAAATTACCAACCAACCACACACAAAAAATCTCTTTTTAACCTCAAGGTAATGTTATTGATCCTTGAACTTGACTATGGAATCTTTTTCTCAAGGGCTGTCTTTTAATTTGTGGATTGAATACTCTACTGAGCCCAGTTTATCTCAGGTAACTGGAATCTGTGGAGATTTGAATCGTGGCATGGCATTGCCCATTCTGTCCATTCTATCCAATGGTAAGTTCATAAATGCAGGGTTTAATGCAGAGACTTGCGTTCTAGTCTAGCTTTGCAACTAATTCAGGCTATTTATTTAACTTCCATGAGCATATTTTTTGCAGTTGTAAAATGAAGAGATTGCATGAAACCATCTTTAATTTCTATAATTTTGTGCTCAGCTATTCCGTTGGGAAGGCTAGACTTCAGCTCAGTGAGAAAAATCTCCTTGAGATCCAAGGGCAAGATGATCTCAGATATGGGATGTTGCAACTTCCTCAGAGAACCATTTCCAGGCCTTTACAGTTCTTCTTCCTCTCTGCACATGTCATTTATATCCTGACATTTAACCCCTGAATCTGCCTTCCATCCTGGCCTTATTTCCCTGGAGAAGCAGGTGAAGCTGTCTACTACTGGCTTGGTCATAAAATTTTGCCCATAAGTTTGGAACAAAACTGTCAAGGTCAAAATTCTTCTCCAGGTGATAAGGTTTTTCTACATGACAATCCAATTTTTGGAAACTTTGAAGTTGTTAAATCCTGATTATTATGATTAACATATACATATGAACAAGCCAAATGAACATTATAAGAAATAGCACTAGACAGTTCAGCCAATTGTTTAAAATGTGACTGATTTAAATTGCTCAAAGTAAGCAATTATGCTTGATAATATGGTCAGAGGACATAAAATGGTAAAAGAGCCCTTGTTTTTAATATAATTAAACAGATACTTATTCTCTACCCCTTTTTAAATCCATGAACCTGGCAAAGTGTGAATTTGTATTTATGTGAGGAAGTAATATTTCCCATGGACCAAAATTGAAAATAGATGAAATGGAAGACAGTGATAAGTGTCCTTCCTATTTCATCCCTCCAGCTAACTATTTTCTCCTTCCAAATAAAACTAATGTTTAGTTTTGCCTTAGATAAAAATATCTTATATTTTTATATACAAATATCTATTTCTCCAACTTTTTGCCCAAATATCATCATTTGTTCTGAGTCTTTGGCAGTGTGCATATTGATGCTTTTGAAAAGGTGGAAGTCATGACCCTCAAGATTACTGTGCGTGTCAGAATCAACTTGAGCTCTGGCCTATATATATATATACTGACCTGCAAGCACCCTCATATCCTCGGGTGACATATTAATATCTTCAGTTTTTTTTATAAGTGCTATGACATGAAGGAGGTTGGGAAGGTCTAAACAGTACAGGCTTTAGTTTTCCAAATCTATTTGATTTTCAGTTGCTTCTCTTTCTCTATACACAGAGCTCTCTGTCTTAAAGCCTCTCCTACCTCCTTTCTTCACATATATGACTCTGACTTGTCCACTAAAATGCAGCTCCTGCTTGACTCCTACAAGAAGCCTGTCCTGAGACCTCTAATGTAGTCTGTTTAGGTGTTCTTCCTCTGTGCCTCCATTGCGGCTGAACATATCTTGTCACATTGTGTTGTCATTGTCTTTTTACCTGTTTCCGATCCCTACTAGACATAAAATTAAGGGCATGGATTAGGTTTTTCATAGCTGAAATTTTATCTAACTCAAGGCCTGATAAATATAAGGTTACTCAATAAACAGTTGATGATTAAATAGATGGAAATAGAAGATATTGAATTATCAGTAAAGAAAATGGATTCCACAATCAATTTATTTGCATGTAAACCTAAGACTTGCTAGGAGACACACACACACACACACACACATACACAACTGAACAGCGTGCCTAGTGGTTATCAGCATGGTCTATAGACTCAGATTCTTCACATCCCTGCACCAACATTTAGTAGTGTTGCTTGCTTACTAGGGTCCTTGGATAGTTTACTTAACCAGTCTGTGCCTCCATTTCTTAAATATAAAATAAGAATAATAATAATCCCCAATTCATAAGGTTCTTATGAGGAATAAATGAGTTTTTATATACGACATTTGAAACAGATCTTGAATGTGTTTAACAAATATTAATTATTATTTATTAAGTAATGATAGAGATTTGGAATCTAGAATAATTTGGCTCAGATAATTCAACATAATTAACAAATTAATGACTAAATAAATAAATAGCTGCTCTTAAACTTGTAACTTCCATATTTCAATGAAAAAGTCATAACTGACTCATTTGCTCAAGGCAAAAGTCCATGGAATATCCATGACTCATTTCAGTGTCTCACCTGCCCCCTCCCCAATCCAGTCTGTCACCCAGTTGTGATGATTCCATCTTCAAAATATCTCTCAAGTCTATTCACTTCTCTCCAACTCCCTTGCCAGCTGCTCTATTCAAGGCCATGTTATGTCTTCTCTGGATGTTTCTGGAGCCCCTAATCTAATATTGCTGCTTCCAGAGTTGCTCCTTTTCTATTCCATTTTTAGACTGCAGCCAGAATGGGCTTCTAAAAAGGCTATATTTGATTATATCACTCTCCAGATGAAAACCCTTCCATGGTTCTTCCTGAGATCTTAGGTCCTTAACTTGTACTACATAATCTGGCAATATGTGGCCTGAGCCTGTGTCTCCAATATTCTGTCATTCCCAACCTTATCCTCTATACTTCATGCACACTTTCAGTTCTTATCCTGAGCTGGGACTCTTCCTGACTCAAGTCTTCTGCTGAAACAATTTATCTTTTCTCCTCCACTCCTTATGTTTCTGAAAATCTCTTTGGAATCCTCAATAATTTTATACAAGTATAAAGAGATCCTAATACCAAAAAAATTGGAGAACTGCTGCCCTAAGGCAGTGACCTGGCCTGGACAGCCTAGAGTGAACCCACAGTCAATCAGCTTATACATGCCACAGGGCTTCTAGTCAGAAAGAAGGAAACCTTAAAGGCAGTTACCATTAATATCCTCTGAGAGATAAGAAAGTTACTGACTGCATGAAACTCATAAAAAGAGATGCTGTTAGAAAATAAAGAGAAGAAAGTCAGAGGATATTCAAAGAACCAGAGCTCTTAGAAGTTAAAAATGTGACAACGAAAACAAAAGCTAGAAAGATTGAAAGATAGAGCAGAGGAACTCTCCAAAACAGCAGAACATAAAGAGAAGAGAAAACATAAGAGACCAGAAATTGGAAGACTTTTCTAAGACACCCAATAGCTCAATAATAGAAATTCCAAAAAGAGGAGAAATCTAGTAAAGAGCAGAGAGGAAATAATGAAAGCAGTAATTCAATAAATTTCTCTGAATGAAGGACATAATTTTCTAGGCACTAACATGCATTGGTGCAAAAATCGAAAATGCTAAAAACAAAGAGAAAGATGCTAATTCCTTTCAAGGAAGGGAAGAAACAGGTTCCAAACAAAGAATCAAGAATCAAGAATCAGAATATCATTGAACTTGTCAAAAATAACACTAGATGATAGAAGATAATGGAACAATGTCTGCAGGGAACATTGACATCCTGAGTGCAACGTTTTCCAACGTGGATTTTGTACAGCCAGACTCTCAACTAGAGTGAACGTAGAATAAAGACATCTTCAGACATAGAAGGTCTTAAAAAATTGGTCTCACGCATTTTTTTTTAGGAAGTGAGCAGAGGATGTGCTCTGCCAAAACAAGGAGATTTCCAAGGAAGATGAAGTCATGGGACCTAGGAAGCAAGAAAATCAATATTAAAGAAAGGCAAAAGAAGTCCTCATGATGGTGATGAAAGGAAAGCCTGAGGTGACTGCTGAGTAATAAGGCTAGAACTCAATCAGGCCAGCTAGAATAGGCAGGAGGAGCTCATATAGAGGCTCTTCAGAGTGGTGGGATGGATGGAAGAACTACCAAGAGGTCCTGTAATGTGTGAGGGGTTAGCACAAACTCTGGGATCAGATCATATGGGCTCTTTCACTTACGGGCTGTGAACTTGTCTTCATGCCTCCCATTAAATGGGGGATAATAACATACCTACCTGTTAGTGCTGTTGTGAGCTTTAAATGAATCCATAAGTGCTTAGAATAGTGCCTGACACATACATAGTAAGGGCAATACTTATGTCACCTTAAGAATAGATAGATAGATAGTAGAAAGAACATTATATATCAGGGGCTAGGTTTTGGGGACAAATTAATGAGAATTATATAGAAAACTGAGCAAAAATAGGAAAGATAACATTAACTTCAAGGAAAACAGAAGTTGTGTACCAAAGAAAAAGAAATCAAATTATAAGACTTAGCTGTTGATAGCATTTACATAATAATAGCAATATAAATGCTGACTATTGGCCAAATGTAAACTATGGTATAGCTGTATTGGGGAGTAGAGGACAGGCAATGTGAGTAAATTGTGGGTGCAGGTGTGTACAAAGAGCTATATCTTACTCTTCCATTATAGGATGTCAATAAATATGCCCAAAACTAAAAATAAAAAAAAATAAAATCCAAAATATGGGTATGTTATTTAGCAATATGAAAGTAAAAGCTAAAATAATCCATTAAAGAATTTAAAGTAGTGTATCTGGGGAGTAAGATATTGGAGTATACTGTTTTTTCTAACAAGGATTGTGTAAGTATTTGACTCTTTAAATATGTGTACATGTATTTCATTAAAAAATTAAAACAGCAAGAGAGAAAAGGAACAAGATTAATCAGAAAAAGGAAGAAGAGAAGATTAGCCTAGAGGAAACAGATATAATGGAAGAAAGGAACAAGAACTTAAAAACAGGTTCCAATAATATCCATAGAAATATTTTTAGGCTTACTGAACTTAACTTCTAACATGAAAATAGGTTGCAATGAAAATGGAGAATTCTTGGTAATAAAAAAAAAAATTCAAAAACCCTACATGATGGTCAAAATAAAATATTCAGTGATAGGAGTGAGTAATTGACAGCCAGATTAGTAAACTGGAAGTTAAAATAGAAGAAATCTCCCTAAATGTGGACTAAACAGTCACGTTAAAAAGATTAGAGAAGTCTTAAGGGATTGCAGGAGAGTTTCAAGAAACCCAATATCTGTCAGTTAGGAGTCTGAAATAGAATAGACAGAACTAAGCCAAGAAATAGTAAAATAAAAATTTCTTGGACCAAAGAAGATATGTCTTCAACTTGGAAGTTGCCATGAAATGCTGAGGAACAATGCTTGAATCCAGGCAAATCCTGATGATATTTCTGATCTTCAACAATAAAGAGAAAATCTAATAGCTGTCAGTGACCAAAAAAACCTACAGAGCCAGCCTGTGGCCGAGTGATTAAGTTGGTGCACTCCACTTTGGTGGCCTGGGGTTTGCCAGTTTGGATCCTGGGATTGGACCTACCCACCACTCATCAAACCATGCTGTAGCAGCATCCCACATAGAAGAGCTAGAATGAGCTACAACTAGGATATACAACTATGTACTGGGGCTTTGGGGAGAAAAAAAAAGGAGGAAGATTGGCAACAGATGTTAGCTCAGAGCCAATCTTCCTTAAAAAAAAGATAGAAGGAAAAGAAAAGAACTTAGAACAAGACCTGGGGCTTATTAAAAAGAAAAACCTACTAAAGAACTAGGATTAGATTGTTGTCGGAGACATTGTAGGATGACAGTGTAGCAGTGCTTTCAAAGTTTTCAAATAAGAGATTTTTACTCATTTGTAATGTTTGCAACCACAGTTATTTCAAGCATGAAACACTCAGCTATCCCTCTTGGATAAAGAAAAAAAATTCTCTTTATGGATGTATTTTAGCAAAATAAAAAGTAAACTAAACTGAGAAAGCAGATATGTAATACAAGAAAGACTGGTGAGAGAAGAAATCAATAAAATTGAGAGTAAGTTTAAGTGATTGCAGATATTTAGGCTGGAACTTTATTTTTTAAGATTTTATTTTTTTCCTTTTTCTCCCCAAAGCCCCCCAGTACATAGTTGTATCTTCTTCGTTGTGGGTCCTTCTAGTTGCGGTATGTGGGACGCCACCTCAGCTTGGTTTGATGAGTAGTGCCATGTCTGCGCCCAGGATTGGAACAAATGAAACACTGGGCCGCCTGCTGTGGAGCGCGCGAACTTAACCACTTGGCCACGGGGCCAGCCCCCTAGGCTGGGACTTTTGATATAGTGGTCTAGAATGGATTTTTACAAATGAAAAATATATTATGTAAAAAAATTGAAGCTAAAATTCCACATGATTTAAAAAATTTTTTTCCATGGAAGTACAGTTGACATACAATATTATATTAGTCTCAGGTGTAACAACATAGTGATTTGAAATTTATATACATTATGAAATGATAAATTCCACATGACTTTAAGGAGTTATAATTGGTGTGAGGAGAACTAGAGAGTAAAACTGTGCAAAACTCCTCACCTGGTTTATTGCGGTTGTTTAACTATTGGTTAATTCCAAACTGACTGAAAGAGATATATTTACTGACAGTTTAAGGTCAACTATTAAAAGGCAAATTGGATTTATAACTACAAAACTCTTTGGAGGGAAAAAAAAGTCACAGAGGAAAAAAAACTCCATTCAGCAAAGAGAAAAAAATGAAAGAAAAAAAGAAATATTTTTTTAGCTCTTGAAAAAGGATTAATGCTCAGTCACAAAATTTTTTTATTTTAGTTGCAACAGCAATACTTGAGTCTATAATTCCCATTTGTCTTTATGGAATACTTGATATTTCTTATTGTTTCCTAGTTCTTTGGTTGCAACTGGTCTATCTCATTGTGTCTTTGCACAATTTCTAAGACTATCCTGAATTAACCATAAGCCTGAGTTCCATAAAAGTCACCCTGGAAAGGACAGTGGCTGTCATCTTTCCCTATCCCTTCTTGTATCTGCATCCATTGGTCTTCTGGTCTCTTTTATCATCAGACTTTTAATTGTTTCGTCCTGCTTACTGTCAGTTGGTAATGGCTCTTTCTCCTTGTTCAGCAGTGAATCTTGAAGGGGCACATCATGCATAATGATTCACTATATGATAGTTGATAAGGAGAAAAACTACATAAAATAAAGTAAGCAATGAAGCATAACAACAGGATGAAAACCTGGGAACCCAGCTGCTAACTTAAAACATAGAATATTACTTACACTGTTGCATCAACTCTCATAGTCTTTCTCAATCCCTTTCCCCTGATACCACCTGGGGGCATGCTCTACCCAGCATTTTGTTTCTATTATCCCTTTGCTTAAAATGTATTAAGATACATTTTAAAATCCCTTACCTTAGAAATATATTTAAAGACTATTTAAATACCCATATGGTACAATTAAGGCATTTTTTCTCTCTCTCATTCATAAAATCCAATTAAAATGACAAAGAATGAAAACAGAGGGAAAAAACTCATCATCTTTAATGAAACAAAGAAGTAGCTATAAGTACGAGCGTAAACACAAATCATGAAGCCAAAGAACATGAAATCAACATCCAGAGAGCAGAGGGAGCTGAAAGCTGGCACCTACAGATTCAGTCTGAAGCAGGAGGTAGTTTCTTTAAGAGCGTTATCTAGAAAGTCTCATCCAACAACCTTTTGATTAGACAGAGATTTGAGGGCATGAGCAGGCCACGCAAGGTGGAGAACCATCCTATAGAAATAGCAGTAGTCCTGATGCTGAAGGAGAAACCAAACTGACATAGTATCTCAATTGTTTATGATCTGTTGTCATAGCCCACAGCAGGTGCAGCTGGCTGAAGTGGATGAAGAGAGAAAGACATTTGCTCTATTTTGAGCTACTGGTGATGTAAACACCCAAACTTGAAGGAGATGCACTCAAAAGCGAGAGGAAATAACAGACTTAATGAGAATGAGTTTCAGAAGAAAATACCCAAATCAAAGCTCTAGTCCCAGTTCCGTCTCTCTCCACTTACCGCCATAGATAATTATCAACACTGAGCTACCGCCTTTGAAGAAGAGGACCACAATGAAAAAGAAATGGACACAGGACCTGTGCAGAGATGCTGCAAAGAAAAGGAGGCAAGCAGGGACATAATCAAAAGGCATACAAAGATCATACATTACATGAGAAGTTACCCTGTGGAAAAGGGAAAAAGTTCTCCAGAGTCTAAACAAATTAATGTATGAACTCCCAAAACTAAAGGAAGAAGAAGAAGAAGGAAAAAAAAAAAGAGAAGCACATATTGAAAGTAAAGTTATAAAACAGTGAGGGGAGATGAAATGAGTTGATGCTTAACTTTGCTAGTAATTAGGAAAATGCGAAGTAAAACACAGATGAGACAGCATTTCACACCAGATTTGGTAAGAATTAAAAGCGTTAGGGCCGGCCTGGTGGCACAGCAGTTAAGTGCATACGTTCCGCTTCGGCGGCTGGGGGTTCACCTGTTCATATCCTGGGTGCGGACACAGCACCGCTTGGCAAGCCATGCTGTGGTAGGCGTCCCACATATAAAGTAGAAGAAGATGGGCACAGACGTTAGCTCAGGACCAGTCTTCCTCAGCAAAAGGAGGAGGATTGGCAGCAGATGTTAGCTCAGGGCTAATCTTCCTCAAAAAATTAATTAATTAATTAATTAAAATTTAAAAAAAGCATTAAGTGTTCTCATTGAGAGCAAAGAAAAGTTGTATCACTCTCCTAATGAAAGGGGAAATTGGTGCAACCAGTTCAGGGAGCAGCACATAGTCAAGATTAAAATGCACAACCTCAAGATCCAACAACTCCCTTCCCAGATATATACCCTGGAGAAACTCTCACTGAGGTGTGCAAAGCTATGTATTCATATGTATATATGTGTGTGTATGAATGTTAATGACAACATTGTAATAGTGAAAAATTAGAAATAACCTAAATGTTCATGGCTGAGAAGGGAAAAATAAATTTTCGTGTTTTCTTAAAATGAAAAATGAAATAAACTAGAGGTATATGTATCAATGTAAATATCACAAACAATGTAGAGTTTATAAAGTTTCATATAGATTTGGACACTTGCAAAAACATGATATATTTGTTTACTTATTTAGCAAAAAGAGAGTTCTAGGCCCTGGAGTTACAAGAGTGAACAAGACACATGAAAATATCTTCCCTCACAGAGCTTCCATTCTAGAAGAGGATGACAGACAATAACAAAACATATAAGTGGCTGATATAGTCTATTTGGAGACAGTTATTGAGAAAGAACAAGTAGGGCAGGCGGATAGGGAGAGCGGAGTGTTGCAGTTATAAATAGGGTGGTCAGGGTAGGCCTCACTGAGAAGGGACACTGAGTGAAGACTTCAAGGAAGTGAGAGAGCTGTTTGAGCAGATGCCTGAGGGAAGAGTGTTCCAGGCAAAAGGAGGAGCAAGCGCAAAACTGTAGAGGCAGGGGTAAACCAGGAATGAACCAGGAAATAACGAGGTGCTCAGGGCAGTAGGGGGACACAAATGGTGGGTAATCTCCCGGGAGAAAGGGAAGGACAGGTGCTGGGGAGGAAGGGGCAGAGTAGGCAGTCATTGTTGGCCATTGTAGGCCTTGTAGAGACCTTGGCTTCCATGAGATGGGAGCATTGGAAGGTTATGTGCAAAGGAATGACATATTTTATAAAAAATTCTGTTTGGAGATAATTTCAACCTTACAGAATAGATGCAAGAATAAGACTGGTATAAAAAACATCACTATGTTCTCAGCCAGCTTCATCTATTGTTGACATTTTACCTCATTAGCTTTAGCATTTGTGCGATCACACACACACACACACACTTCCTAAACAATAGAGGCAAAAGAGAAGTCTGTTTAAAATGGCTCTTATAGAAGATGTGGTATTTATACACAATGGAATACTACTCAGCCATAAGAAATGATGAAATCTGGCCATTTGTGACAACATGGATGGACCTTGAGGGTATTAGCTGAGTGCAATTAGTCAGAGGGAGAAAGTCAAATGCTGTATGATCTCACTCATTAGTAGAAGATAAAAACAATGAAAAACAAACGCATGCAATGGAGATTGGATTGGTGGTTACCATAGAGGAAGGGGGAGAAGCCAAAAGGGGTGATTAGGTTCACATGTGAGGGGATGGACTATAATTAGTTTTTAGGTGGTGAACATGATGTAATCTACACAGAATTCGAAATATATCACAATGTACATCTGAAAGCTATGTAATGTTATAATCCAATGTTACTGCAATTAAAATAATAAAAAAATTTTTTAAAATGGCTCTTATAAAACAACAAGATAAACTTGAGTTGAAATAGTCAACTTCTCTAGTAATGAATGAAATTCAAGCTAAACAAAAATGAGATATCATTTAACTACTATCAGA